TATATATATAGATATAATATCTTTTTATATAAGTATAGATTATATATCATGTCCAATATTTTCTCTCCTATTCGATCATTACAATTTAAATAACATTTAAACACAAATTCCAAATCACACACAATTATTCACCTTTTTTTTTAATTAACTCATTTAATTCAATAAACTTAAGCCGATATTGAAATCAAACTCGACTCATTTGTCAAAAAATAACTTGTCGAGCTGAGGTGTTTGCTCGGTAAATTACATTAAAAAACCTTGTTTCTTAAGCCTTGAGGAGTCGGACAAATCGAGCTGTTAAAAGAGCTTGATAAATGAACGGAGTCGAATTCAAGCCTAAACGAGACAACACGACAAGCGGCCAGTTGTTTATTAGCACCTGTGCAGCCTGTAGATAGCATTAATAACTTCATGATTTACTCGAAATAACTTTATTACAGTAAACTACCACATTTATTTATTTGGTGAGAGAGCAATGAGTAGTCAATAATATTGTTTTTATGGATGGACATTTTGCTATTTATTTATTTCTTAGGATTTATTTATTTCTTAGGATTTTTTATTTTTTTTAATACATTGATGAAACATCATTGATTTGTATACAAGCCCAAAGAAAATGAGTGCTTTTCATAGGACGGTTGGATTGGATTGATTTGATCTCAGCAAGATAAATACGACATTATATTGCTACCAAAAAACATCATTTTCAATATTACTTTTTTTTTTATGTCTTTTGGAAAAATCAACTTCTAATATCCATGACAATATTTTGCTAGTTACAATTCACGAAAAAGAAACTTACATGTCAGAAGAACATACGCATTTAGTAGAATAATGGAAGTTTCAGTGCCTAAAATTAACTTCACAGCAAAGGTCAACTTAAGTTAATCAAACAACTCCATGCAGGTCAAGATCGAGCAACACGCGAGCCTGCCAGACATCAATCGTCCAAGCTGTAATCACTCGACTCCTCCAAAAGTGGGACAGCCGCGCAACAAAACGATTCCTTGTCCTTGAGAAGAAGGTATCTCCCGTCGAGATTCCACTTCAGGTCGAGCACGGAAAATTGAGGTAATGGGACATTGATGCAGCACGTGCGCAGTGGGGTCCACATGTACAGATTTGTGCTCCCGGTGCATAGGAAAAGTCGAGGGCACGTGGGGTCCCAAGCCGCGGCTCGGATAGGATCCTTTTGTATCAGGATAGCCGCCAGCTCCAGCTGCTGCACGTTCCATATCCAAAGGACAGTTGGCATGCTGTCATTGCGCGTGCATATGTATTGGCTGTCGCTACTCCATGCCATGAGGCCTGCAAAATATATATATATATATATATATATATATATAATTAAATAAAAAGATATAATGGTCTTGGCAAAAATGCAGTAGTCACTATAAAAATGATTTTTGTGCCAGTGTAAGATTCTATTTGGCAAGAATATTGAGCTCAAACAGACAAACAGTCTGAAACTTCTAAAAGAAAAGGACAGAAGAGATAAAGACAAAGGCCCACAAATATGGTGGCATTTTCAGCATCCAACAATGATATAAGACACAAAAGGAATATATAATGAAAATTTAGCATTAAGTTCTGCCTCACCGATGCCTTGCTTTGGGTTTGGTTTATCAGCTGGAGGCTTCAGTGAAGGAAGAGTAATTGGAACTTCCATAACTTCGTATCGAACTTGATTGTATGTCTCGGATGTATTATCTGCAAGGTAGGTTATCAACGCAATATCATTATATAATTTCTGAGGAAAAATACTAGTAATAAACAGACACCGCAGAAAGGGATGCTCAAATTCTCGACAAGCTAGCAAATATTATTTATGATTGTTGACAGATTTGACTGATGAAACTTTTCGCATTTCAGATTTGGTCAGGGTAACATAGAATAAATATATCAGACCAAGATAACAGAAGGTAAAATTTCCGAGTTTTTTTCTGTTTGCAATTATTATCATTATCATTATAAATTTTTTGCTTCAAAATGATTACTTATGCTAAAACCTTCACATTTACAGATTATATGGCAAAGGGCACTTGGCACAACTGCATCTCGATATTCTGTGTTAGCATTCTAGAAATAGAGTTACCATACCTAGACAAGTATTGCATTTTCTGTAAGCAGGAAAAATTATAATATGAATTAATTATCCCAGAAATTGGATTATAATGAATGGAAGATAATGTTATTTTCAAATTTGATTAGCATCAACTTATGAAAATGCAAAATTACGTTAGGGTGGTATGAAGAAACAGAAAAAGGTACTGATGGTGGATAATTTGTTTTTGCGAGCTCACCAGTATTTCTTTGAACAAATTCATCAGTCAGTGACAATTCCGACATGTCCAGTTGCAATGGCTCGTCTACTTCCTGGATGGATGGAAAAAGTCTCAAAGCATGAATAGAAAAATTGTAACCACCTTAATAAGAAAATTTGTTACCTTGAATACTGCAGCTGCACAAGGACCACGAATGACAGTTAGATGTGTAAATTCTGCAAATACTTTCCAAGTCAAGTGATTTAAAACCCGTATCATTTGGTCGTAGCTCCCCACAGCTAAAAATTGACTACATGGTGACCAAGAAACATTTTTTACTCCTAATCCACTTTCATATGCTTGATACTTGGATAAACACCGGCCATCTGGAGAATATATTAGCACCTAAAACAAAACACCCTAAACAATTTATAATGATGGCTAACAAATTCAAGCATGGACAGAGATGACAAAAAAGAATTAAAAAAAAAATGCTACAGTAGCAACAATGAGACCTAACTTATAAATGCTATCATATATAACAAGAGCTGGAGATCATGTCACAAGAGGGAAGCAGTCAACCACTAAATAATAAGGTATGAAATTCTTTGTAGGTTAAACATCATAGCATTACGGCCCTGTCAAAATTACAACTAATCAAAACCAAATAAAATGCTAAGAAAAATTTTACAGTTTTACTACAGATATACAATGTAATCATTCAAGAGATGATATGGAAACAATGACTCAAAATCTCCACCAACTAAAAAACTGTTTCCAATCTGATAGAGCTAATATGCACTGTATAAATATGATCAAGTACACACACATGATATGTCATTGCTCATGAATCTGTGTAAACCGTTTACCATAGTTCCCATATTATATTACTGGAGAAATTATTTACGTCAAGCTACAAATAGATAAATAAGTAATCATCACTATAAGACAGATTCAAAGAGCAGCATCACCATAAATACCTTATATTCAAGAGGTGAATCCCATATGACTATGGCACTATCATCTGGTGACCATTGAATATCAGCCAAATCCAAAGTGTCAACTGCAAAAACACCCATAATTTCCCACGTACAACAAGATAATAGATTAACATAGTCCTTGCAATCACGTCTCGTGCATATTGCAGCAAATTTCCCATCTTTTGTAAATGAAACTCCCTTAGAACCATGCTTTGGCCACTGCACATGTATGCATGCTGTGTTCAACAACGACCAAACCGTTAAGCGTAGTTGGAAATCGGATGTGGTCAGTATGTGGCGGCTATCCGGGCTCCACCTTGCATAGGAAATACCTGCGGGCCCCTCATCAATCTTACATGTCCATTCCGGTTGTGCCAATGACCATGCTTGTATCATGGGCCTCTTGAATAGGCCGCAAAGTATGTACTCGGAATCAAGGGCCCATTCGATGTAAGTTATTTTGTCCAAACAAGAGAATAATTGTACCACCTATAAGGCAATTAAATATAATCAGCGCATATTCAACTGCGACGGCACAAGATTTAGCTCGACGAGTGCTGAATTTTTGCCAAGTAATCAAGCCATCATACTTCCACCATGATGCACTGCAGATGATAATAACCTTGAACCCAATTTGCTCACTACTTCATAGACCAATTTCAAGCAACGTGTATGTTCGCTTCATTTACACTTACACCCATTTCTGGAAAACTAAAGCATGATAATGTACTTTTCGAAGATGAATTAGGCAACGAAGATTTCAACTAAACATCGACTAATTGACAAACAACATCAAGCAGAAAATCGAAATTCCAGAATCTGAACAACTTCACTGAGTTTTGAAAATTGAAGAAATCAAAATGCACGAACCTTGAGTGTGTGAACATCGCGAATGACTAGACGATAATCAACGGCGACGGCTAAATACCTCGCATTTGGCGAAAATGAACAGGGACCCGCCTGCTTAAACGTCTCTGAGAAATCCATTTTCACTGCTTTTCCAAATTTTTCCTTGTTATGCAGCTGGGCTTTTCTGCATATTGAAGCAGCCTACATTGATGGGGGCGATGGATCTGCAAATGGGTTCGTGAGATCTGTGGAGCCGTGGGTGTGGAGTTGAGAGAGAAAATAGGGGCGGTGAAAAAGTTGAAGGTTTTTCAAAATTTAGGAGTTAACAGTACAAATTTCAAGAAATCCTATATTTTTACAACAGTCAATTTTTTCTTCAAAAATTTTAGGTTTATAATTTATTTTTTTGTTTCTAAATATTTTTTTGGATAAATTATACATTAATAAAATTATATATTTTGTTATTTTATAATTGTATTTAAATTTTATGTTGTACTAATGTATTTCATGTAGAGCAACATGTAGACGCGAATAATTGAAGACGAAAGTTAGATTTTGACACGGTTTACTCTAGAATAGAGTAGAGTAACAATTGAAAACAAAAGAATGAAAGCGTGAATCATCTCGGTCTCTAGATATCAACTGATGTAGCTCAGCGTAACGAATGAGAAAACAACAAGAAAAAACGCTCAACTCATATATGTTTTTTATTCAAATCAATCCGCCATTTCAAAAGAAGAGAATACTTCTTAAATAAAAGTTGTACCAGTTTTGCTATGAAGTCAACTGTTGGCTTCATAGCAAAATTGATTGTTCTACAAGTCTTAACTTAATTAACTTCCCTACCAAGAAAAGATATGGGAAAATAAATAAATATTATGCTAACATCATAATAATGCAAATAAGGGCAATAATAATATTAACTATGAAAATAAATAACAAGATTAAAAAGGAACCAATCAATCATGTTTATCCAATAATGCAAGGACAATATCGTCTTCATCAATTACCTACGGACTACAATTTTGAAGGCCGTAAACTGGTCCTGAAATATATACGGCCCGGTTCAGTGAATTCGTGGTTCTGAACCGGTACAACTCATTTTAAAAATAATAATTAATAAGTAATTAAAAATTATAAAAAAGATCATTCGAGTTCAGAACCGGCACGTAGGTTCAAAAGGTTAAAATATGCGGTCTACAATAAACCCGTTCAAATGGGCTCGGTTCAAGACATGTTGACCATGGGCCGACTCGGGTGCGTGGTCAGGTCTATGATAGTTTAAAATCGAACCGTTCATTGAACCGGTGAAACTACCTGTTCAATACATGTTTGTGCTGATATTTTATTTCTAAATTCTAGTGGGAATTTATTGCTTGGACGGAGTCATGCTTTGCTCTTTGATGGGAAACCGAAAATCTGGAAAACATTTTTTTTTTTTTTGGGAAGAAAAATCTAGAAAACATTTATTCAAACAATTCAATTAAGCTGAGTCGTTGGGCCGTCCTAGCCGGTCCCAATTTGCCGATTTCACCGGTTCTGGTCCGGTTCGGATGGTTCAATCCCAATTTGGCCCCCTGGCGGTTTACAACCCCAAACCGGAGCGAAATGAATTGAACCGGTCGAACCCGCCGATCCAGTCCGGTTTCGATAACCACGTCTATCACGTTTAGTGGTTTCTATTTAGCTTCGATATGTACGACATGGCTCAATCGTCGCCGCAGATTACAACCTCCAATAGACGACGATTTCTCGTTCCAACTCTTGGGACAATGTTTTCGTCAAAGCTCTGCGCAAGGAAAATACAGCTGATATGAATCCATCCCATCGGATTTACCAGTTTTAGGGTCTCAACACATCTCAATTTTATTATTTAATTTCCCTCAAAACATTTACTAAATTATCATTTTTTTTTTAATTTTTTCTTGTTTCTTCGTTAGCAGAAACTCGAGTGAGAATGATGCCTAGGTGGGGCAGAGCTTTGATCCAGTTAAGTAGGGTTAGCAATTTTAAGAAAAGTGCTGATTTTGTGAGGAGGGATTTGTATGCTCGCTCGTTTCGTAACTATGCAAAGGTTGCGGCTGCTAACGCGGAGCCAAGTGTTGAGTCTGATACCACTAAACCTGAGGTATTTAAACCTTTGATATGTTCTTATGATGATTTGAAGAGTTCATTTCATAATTTTGTATCGGATGTTGTATTTGTTCTCTTTTCCTAGTACACTCTTGGATACGAGGATTCCATGGTTAGGAATTTCATTGTTGTCATGTCTGGACATTGGACCACATTTGAACTGTCTATGTTTTTGCTTCGTGTATTTGTTGGGGGTTTTTGTGGAGGGTACCCGAGATTATGGGTTGTGGGATATTGTAAATTTATCTTGTGCCTCAATCAGATACAGGGTAACTGGAGTTGTCATGATATATATATATAGGAAAGTGACTAAAAATCTTTGCAGATGCAAGTGGAAAAGACTATGCATCCTTGTACTTCTTTCTGTATATAGGTTTGTTTGTAGCTAAGGGCTTAATTTTGAACCGAAAACTTTCGGGTGTTGGTGACTATTGTGCATTAGGGAGTTTTAACATGTGAGCTTCAGTTATTTGTTTAGAACTGCTAATCATGTTATCCAATGTGCCAGCATATTTCAGTTGAAAGACAATGATATGGTGGGCTAAGGCATCATATGATCATTCTTCGTTGAATATTGTTGACTCTTAGGAATGTAGAAACCACAATTAACGTTCATGTCAGAGATTTCATATTAATTAATTAATGTGAGACTTGTGAATTTTCTGCCAATTTCCATAGGGTACCCTTGTCATACTTACAATGGAAGTATTCATTTTTCGGGTGAATGCCAAAGATGTTATGGTCCAAGCTATGTTAATTGTTGTCAATGACTGACTCGCCAAATGGGATTGTTATTTGGTTTGAAAGTTATAACAATTGCTTGCCTTTTGTGGAATTTCGCACTGTTTGATTCGCTAAAGAAACATGCATCTGTAGGTGAACCTTAACAAGATGTTCTGGTCCAAGCCATGTTCAATAGCATTAGCGCCTGATTCACCAAATAGGATCGAAGAACCACAATATGAGGGCATGAAGCGATTAATCCTTAAGTTGATGCTATTCTACAGTAAACAAAGCCAGCACATCCGTTGGGCTAATGCTATTTACAGCCGTGTGACATATCAAGTTGATAGACCGGCTATATATGACGGTCAGTTTTTGCTCATTTTGAGGGTTTAGAATAATAAATCGGTAAATGGAATGCATTTCAACTGAGGGCTTGTTTCTTGACATCCCTTTTAAAGCGTTAACCTTCTGGACTAGAGAAAGACTGGCCAGTGGTACAAACATTTTCCAAGGAAATTGAGCTTTTGATTTGGCTAATTTTCATTTTTGGGCTGCAAGTAATTCTGATATCCTGCGCATTTGTTCCACTGTCTTAGTGTCATTTTTGTGATTTTGAATTTAGTTTTTGTCACATTCCATGTGCAGTGTTTAGCTTGGAGACGACATTCAGAACAACATTTTCATTGCTTGTGCTCCATATGTGGCTTTGTCTACGTCGCCTCAAGGAAGAAGGAAAAGAAGGTGTTGAGTTGGGGCAATACATATATGAGATATTTAATCATGATCTGGAACTGAGGGTGTCTAAGGCTGGGGTGAGTTTTCCACACAGTTCTCTTGCTTGCAGAGTTGGAAAAACCATCCATCGCTGCATTTTCCGGATACTGTTGTTTGGTAGTAACCGTACTCTTTTCATTCCTCCTTTTGAACTGCAGGTGAATTTACTGCTTACCAAATGGATGAAGGAGTTAGAGAAGATATTCTATGGAAATATTGTTGCTTATGATACCGCCATTGGGAATCAGGATGAACTGCAAAATGTTATTTGGCGGTAATGAACGCAAAATGTTACTGGAGTTTCTCATTTATTGAATATATTAATTAATGTTAATTTTGCTTTTGAAGCTTTTTGATAGCATATGGATTTATGTGCTACTACAGTGATAGTTTCAAGTTGATTGTTGTCCTAATTTGTTATTTAGGTTGTAATAATTGCTGCCTTTGGGCTTTTATCACTTCAAGCGCTTTTAGGGTTAAGAGTCATATTAGTATGTTTTTTGTTATCACTAGGTAGGGGGATTGTGGAATGGAGGAATTTTTCTCTCACGGAGAATTTTGGTTCTTTTCTCTATTTTCTTAATTAATAATGTTTCTGGCTATTTTGTCATAATTGTCCTTGGCTCTTAATTTTTTCTTCTCACCGACCTATATATATGAAGTTGTCTATGGGAATTTTAGGAGTTGCTGGACATATAACCAATCCCAAGATGTGACTGTTAAACCATCAACTTACTCCAGCATGTCACATTTATTCGAGTTGTCATAAACAAATTACTCTGTGTTACTACAAATAAGTATATTATTCAATCATTAAATTGAAGTAACAGCATGTCACATTTAAAAAATGCGATGTTACTGGTGTTATTATCCTCTAATCTTCTTTTTTGTGTGTGCTTAAGGAATGTGTTCTCGGATGAGGGAGCATCTAAACCAAGTGAGGGTGCCTTACCGTTTGTCCAGGCAAGTAATCATATCTTCATGTGGTCCATACATCAGCTGACTGACGATTTTCTGCTGGTTATAGTATGCTCCATTTTATTTCAACAGAAAATTGGGAAATAAGAAAGACGACAGAAAATACATTAGTCATGTGATTTAGTCTTCAAAACATTCCTGCAAAATAGTTATGATGCCTTGAAAAATTCATAATTGTTTTGAGTTTGTTTTAGACCTTAGACTTGAACCAGATTCAGTTAAAATCTACTATTCTAGGCCAAAGTCCAAGTAGTTGATATTCATGCCCTAATCCGACTTTGAATTTGCGAGAGTT